GGGGGGGGGGGTACTCCTTATGGAACTCATTGAGAAGTGTCATGTAGTAGCAGTACTTTATATGCAGTGACTGAAAAGTGTTTATACGGGCAACAGCCAGTATGAAAAAAATAAATCCAGACGTATTGTGGTTTAAATAAAACTGATCGAGATTTGTCTACATATCATCGTTCAAAGAAAGGCAGGAAATAGTTTAAACGCAACTAACCGCGAAGTGAATGGAGTAGTCCATACGAAGATAATGAAAGTGTATATTCAAAACTGGTACACATATGTCAGGAATCAGTCTCAATTACACTTGTCTAAATATGTTATACCGTTGGTCTATATAAAATTGACGGAGAACCGTCTATGTATAACGGATTCTGAAGTTTTAAAAACTAGTCCTAATACAGTTGATATAGATGTATCATGTAATATGATCTATGTAAAATTGTAGAGAAGTATTTATGCAGAAATGATCTAGAGATATTTCAAGGCCAAGTCTTTATACAACTAATTAAGATCTTTCAATACCTAGTCTATACAGGAATGATTGAGATATTTCAATACCTTGTCTATACAGAACTGATTTAGATGTTTCGAGGCCTGGTCGATACAAAACTGATTTAGATATTTTAAGGCCTAGTTTATAAAAAAAACTGCTTGAGATGCTTCAAGACCTAGTCTATGCAGGAATGATTCAGATATTTTAAGGCCTAGTTTCTAAAAAAACTGATGAAGATGTTTCAAGACCTAATCTATGCAGGAATGATTCAGATTTGTCAATACCTTGTCTATACAGAACTGATTTAGATATTTCAAGGCATAGTCGATACAAAAGTGATTGAGATATTTTAAGGCCTAGTTTATAAAAAAAAGAACTGCTTGAGATGTTTCAAGACCTAGTCTATGTAGGAATGGTTCAGATATATTTAGGCCTAGTTTATAAAAAACTGATGAAGATGTTTCAAGACCTAGTCTATGCTGGAATGATTCAGATATTTTAAGGCCTAATTTATAAAAAACTGATGAATATATTTTAAGACCTAGTATATGCAGGAATGATTCAGCTCTGTCAATACCTTGTCTATACAGAATTGGTCTAGATATTTCAAGACCTAGTCTATACAAAACTGATTAAGATGTTTCAAGGCCTAGTCTATACAGAAATGTTTCAGGTGTTTCAAGGCCTAGTCTATACAAAACTGATTAAGATGTTTCAAGGCCTAGTCTATACAAAACTGATTAGGATGTTTCAAGGCCTAGTCTATACAGAAATGTTTCAGGTGTTTCAAAACTTCAAGTTTAATTTTTTCATTACTTTGATGTTAAAATCTTAATGAGATATGAGAAATATTTTCATAATGTAGTAGTAAATGTAAAACATTTTAAATATTTTATGGGTGTTGGCCCCTTCTGGCACTTTCGAGCATGTCGGAAACATCAAAAATCGTTACTGCACTAGGAGCGTGCTTTAACACAAGAAGAGGGCTTGGCAAAAATGTCCCAGTCTTACCTAATGTTTAGCTCTGTTCCACCAGTTTTATTGCCAACTTGAAACGTGCACTGAACTCCGACAGCTTTGTCTCTTGCTGTAACCACGTTGTCGTTATTTTGTATTATTAAAACATTGGAGAATTTGCCTTCAGCCTACAATTAAAAAAAAACAAAAAAGGAAGAGAGAGAGAGAGAGAGAGGTTTTATCTATCTACCATTTGTATTTTAAAAACAAGTTTCTGTTAATGTAAGCTACAGACATTAAAAATAACCCACATAAAATTCCCATTCATAATGGCTATAAAAACCTTATCGTATAGTATGACTGGAAACACTCGAATCAAAATCGACGAACAAGTCGCCCATTGATTAGTCGAATATAATTTTACAGATGATTTTTAATTTCATGTACGTTCAACTCAAAAACCACAAGTGCACAGAAATAAAACAGTCTGAGAGAGAGATGTAACGGACATGCAGAGTTCATCAATATGAACAAAGTATACCCCAATATTCTCATTTACCAAAGTAATATGCTAAAGAACACAAGTTTTAAAACTGAGATTCCAACGTTTCATCAGCGACTATAGTCCTAAGAGGCACTTCTAACACGACTTTCAGTTAAGAGTGACCACAGTTTTAATATAATTCATTTCTGAGGTTTATCATGTATACCAATATAATAATAGCACAAGTCTAACATTCATATGATGCTTATACAAACCTGAATACAAACAATTGTATGATGCTTATACAAACCTGAATACAAACACTTGTATGATGCTTATACAAATCTGAATACAAACACTTGTATGATGCTTATACAAACCTGAATACAAACACTTGTATGATGCTTATACAAACCTGAATACAAACAATTGTATGATGCTTATACAAACCTGAATACTTGTATGGTGCTTATACAAACACTTGTATGATGCTTATACAAACCTCTGGACTTTTTAGTTCTAAAATAATATACACACACACACGCACAAGAAATAGAAGGCTGAGAGTAAATAAAAAATTGATGCAGATATCACAGACTTCAGATGTAAAAAACACACGAACTAATGTCTTCCTACTGTTAGTTCAACTGATTCTGGATAATAAAATCACTAGTTTCTGTTTCAACGACTGAGATCAAATCGTGGATAAAAACTTCACATTTAGGAATACTGTTGAATGGTACAGGAGTGCGTGTTTCTGTGCTGTAAGCGATGTTTCATAGAGGCTGAAAACGCAGAAATTTAATAGGTTGTTAAATATTTGTTACCTGAGCAAGTTGATACCACACATAATAGTTTATATAATTACTGCATTATGTATATCAAGCATTACAAACTGCATTCATGTATCATAGTTAATGTGTCTCACAAATCATCTTCTTTCATATGATGACCACGTTATTTCTAGTAATCAAATGAAACATTACAAACTGGGTGTCTGTATTACTCAATTATATAATAAACTAGAGTGAAAACTGCGTATCTGATTATAATGGACAAAAAATAGCAACTGTGTGTTTAATCACTTTGACGACGTAGTTACTACGGTTCTCATTAAAAGTCAAATTTCCAAAACGACATACGCGGTGACATAGGATTAATTTTCCCATTGAGTACCGGTTTCAAACTGTTGTGCTACAGGCATACCACTTCCCACTAGTAGCTCTGGCATAATTTTCTAACCTTGCCGTTCGTGGGACGGATATAAATTTGGAGTAACCAATTTCAACAAGTCAATCTTCCGATGAAAAACGAAATAATACGTACAAAATGCCTGACTTCAACTTCGTAAGCTCGGCAAAGAATAAAGCACAGCAATAGACGAATATCATCCTACAGCACAGGGCGCTGTTCCATATCTTTAAAAATAAAACATTTATTAAACCTCAAACACTAGTTTAATTGGTGTACAATAATTGTTTTTCTTGTCACTTGTTTGTTGTTTTTGAAACAAAAAAGAAATCATAATTTTGAAAAGTTTGAAAAAAGTGATATTCCAGTCACTTCCCTCTATTATAATGGAGCCGGCTAAGCTTAGTGGGACCGTAGTGGTCAGCGTGTTAGGCTGCAGATCGAGAAAGATCCTGGTTTCGAAACGTGGTACCGCTGAACACGTATTTTTCAGCTGTAGACGTGGTATAAAACAGATATTCAATCCCGTTGTTCGTTTCAAAGAGCCGGAAAAAGCTCTTATGGCGGCGGGTGCTTTTGAGAAATAACAAAATTTCTTGTAAATTTTATTTCATTTTTACATGAAAACATATTCCAATGAAAATATTCGAACATATCTGTGCTATACATACATAATTGCTAGAGTAACCATAATATTTCCTAGTCATCGGTGACTGTAGGAATGCACCTTCTCCTCCACCCAAAGGTCACCGACCTGAACACTGATAACGATCTTTGACTTGACTTGACACAGTAGCGTAAATGATGCCCAGTCCTACAACTACCTAACTTTCATCAACATCTGGTCTAGTTTATTACTAGTAAGGACAGTTCCTATTTCCAGCGCATATCACTGCCGTTGCAGCTAGGTTTTACTTTCAGAACAGCTAACGTGATTAACGACTACTTATATCCTGGTTGTAGAAACAACGTTCTTTTGAAAACGAGCATAAAAATAAATCAATGATTAAGTATACTTAGTTTTTTTTTACAAACTCTTGAAAAATATGAAAACATCAGAAGCCAGTGCACAATCGCGAGTCTTCTCCAATGTCTTTTTCAGTGGGTTGGGATATTTTTTTAATTGCACTCATTTTTTAAGACAATTTGACCACAGTCTGGTGAATAAAAACAATCGTATGATCTGGCGATTTTTAAAAATCTAATTGAACATGTTTCGGAACACTTAGATTTGGCATTCTCATCACAACAATGAAACGAATGTTTTCACTGTTGTTTCATTTGGCTCTATTTCCTTCTCTATCGGTTTTTAAGCAACTAACACGGGATACTGAGGCCTTGTATAATATTTTTTGAAGCCAATATTGGGTGTAATATGTTTACCAAAAACTAGAAATATTCAAATAAAAAAAAATGAAAAATACGGCTGCTTCTGTATGAGGTGTTCATATAAGATTGTTTGTTTGAAGTTAAGCACAAAGCTACACAATGGGCTATCTGTGCTCTGCCCACCACGGGTATCGAAACCCGGTTTCTGGCGTTGTAAGTCTGCAGACATACCGCTATGCCACTGGGGGGGGCATTTATTTAATAAAATATAACAGTGTACATTTCAAATAGATGATAATCAAAACATTTCTGTAACAACCTCATAAAGCTGTTTAACTGCTGTTGTTTTTACCATTAAATTGTTTAAGTTTCAGTGCTAAAAACCTTGAAAGAAGATTACATTTTTGAAAACACGAATTAATTACTCTCTACCCTCTTCCCCCAAGTGACTCATCGGTAAATCTTTAGGCTTAAGACGTTAAAAACCGATACCTATGGTTGGCACAGCACACGTAGCCCATTGTTGTAGTTTTGCGCTTAACAACAATCAACCAACCCTATCATCTATTGGAAAATACAGTAGCCAAATCTATTTGGATATAGCATATACACTGGCAAGCAATATAAGCCAAAATAACTGGATTTCTTTTTAGTTCGTGGAGCTTACAAATAGCAGTCACCAGAGATTATGGAGTAGTATGTTAAACCTTACTCTAGAAGTCACTTTGAAAGTATTTAATAGGAAATGTTTCATTCTTTACTGATATCAACTTCCATAATAATGAAATCCGTAATAAAAGATAATTTATAACGCTTTCATATACTTATTTAGACGTTTTAAGAGCTCGAATAACGTACTTATGTAGAATTATCAACATTGACCATCAAAACCTTACGCCCTGCCTAGGAATAAGAGATATGAGATGGATATTCTATTTTTAACTGAAACTAGTCTTTTCTCTAGTTTAACACCAGATGGGGTTTCTGGGGACTTGTTATTCCACATGCTTACCAAAGAGACTGATTTGGTAGGAAAAGTTTAGGTGTTTATTTCTTCATAAAGCACTGATTCTTACCTGATTAACAGTTCCACACTGACTACCATTCAGGAGGACAGGGAGGGTAAATTGTAAACTTTCATGTACATCGACGAAGCATGTTGTATCTCTGCCTTGGGTGTATATTTTTCCTCTAAAAACGACATTTGTTGAAACGGTCACATTCATAAAAAAAGGATGACAATCCACGGACACTGGAAGTAATATAAAAACAAAGACAAAATGTTTAACTACAACTAATTAGGCATTAATCGTTTTAAAGAAGATTTTAATTACGATGATTGTTAATCACTAAGATGGAAGTTAAATAATAATTAAAGAGGGCAACATTCGCGGGCGAATGCAACATGTCTCCACCACGTAATCCCAACATGGTGAAATTTGACACTAGGAAAATTGTGAAACATAGAAAGATTGAAAAATGTCTGTATCACTACCCCGT